CCCCCAAAACCCCAAAACCCCCAAAAAATAAATGTAAAAAAAGATAGATTAGAATTCAAAATATTAAGTTTAGATAAATGAAATTAAATAGATTGATGATTCAATTAAGACTGTTTGCTTTATGCAGATATGTTTTAATGCCCATTCTTCTCTAAAATATCTCCTCAATGCTGTCCTGGTATTCAATTGACAAAACACGATTCCATAGATACTTTGCTGCCTCACTCTTTTTATTTTTGAAGGTTTGCACCATCAGATAAAGAACTTTCAAGAGTTTCATATGATTATCATAAACTCTTCTTCTTTCAAGATTATATAACCTAACAAACTTTAATCTGTAATCTTTCTCCTCTGCATATAAACTTTGAAGACTATTTATATCTAGTTATAGCATATCATCAATAGTGGCTTAGGCTTCAATTATAGTCATAATCTCTCTGATTGTATTAAGTTCAAAATCTAGAGAAAATGGCTGGCTGAAAGTCATAACAGAGAGTGTCTTAGATTATTCCTTGTCCATTTAGAAATACACCTGCTTTCTAGCAAACTCAAACAATGATTCATTAAGCTGATATGATTTAATCTTTATATCGAGAGTAAGGTCGTAATAATCCTCACTATCCTTTACTTTCTCATCTGGAAAGTAATTCATTTTATCCTTAAGCTTAGATGGATTCTTGAGCAGTCTAAACTGCATTGAGTTGTACTAATTATTTTCATCTAAACAAAATCCATAACTATAAAAAGATGTAATTAGCTTGAGTTAGTATAATTACTTTAGTAGCAAGTCAGAGTTTGAGCGTCTTCCATAGCTGTAGTAGATTTACTCTCCAGCCTTGATATCTTTGCCACTTTGATTCACAATAACTAAGAAATTATTTTCATCATCATCTCTCCACCATCTGAAACCGTAGACCTCTCTAAGTCTTGTATTATTTTTTATTAAATCAAATTCTTATGAACTTATTCCCTTGCCAGAATCACTTAACAATTTTCTCCTGAGATTTTCATTTTTTGTACTAGCTGTAGAGTCTTTCTCTTCACTTTCAATATCATTATCCTGATCAAGTTCAAAATGCTAAAAATTAATTTCCCAAATTTTTTGTTAACTAGATAAATTCTACTTAGATTCAAAGAGCTCTTTATACTGCTAAAAGGCTCTTTCATTTCCAGATAGAATCATACTTTAATAAAGGTAATCCTCTTTACTCTCCTCTAGAAGCTTTGCACCTTTTTTCATTGGCCTATTTATAGAGTAAAGATCTTTGACATTATAATTCATTCGCTCAGCTTTTGTTTCAGATAAGGTCTTGAAATCAAAATCTTTTTGATAGAGATCTTCATTAGCTTTATGTAATATCTTGTTTACTATATCAATCTTATTATTGCTCGTAGAATTATGATTGAAACAATCTGCAATTGGTGCGACAAATGTAGTAGGAAGACCCCATCCAAAGCATCTAGTCTAAACAAAGCAGGCGCATCTTTGATAAAGTTGGTACGAGCAAACCTTAGTGTTAAAGTGATCTTTAGAATATAGAAAGATGAGCTTCTCGATAATTTACCAATCCTCCTCTAGATTTTCTCTCTCTATATAAATCTACTCTCTAAGTTCAACATCATTAATCTCTTCTATTGTGTTATCCTCCCAAAAGCAAGTCAATTTCCCAGGATTAATAGCCTCAAAATATGGATGCCAAAAAGACTTAGTTCCCTTTTGATGCTCATATATAACAAACAAGAGCAGAATTAAATAATCTCTATCTTCAGTCGCTTTGAATATGGACGAATGCTTCTCAAAAATGAAACCGATTGGGGAATTCAAAGCTTTCTCAACAGTGATAAGTATTCTTGAAGGAACATAAACAATTACATCTTTAGGTTGAATGTTGTATTTAGCTGCAGATCCGACCACATAGTTATCTTCATCACCAAAAGCAGCAGGGAATCTCATCTAATAGGAAATGCTTTAATGTGCAATTTATCTTTACCTTATTCATAATAACTCCATTAGATTGGGCCCACTTGACATAGGACTTGTACTTTATATCTTTATGCAGGACATCACTAACTTTTTAGTTATAAATTTCTCTTTTGCTCATTTTTGAATTATTAAATTTACCAACCTAATTCTCTTAATTCTGAATCAATGGGGTTTTGGGGTTTTGGGGTTTTGGGG